TTCCTGCTCATTGCCAAGAAATGACAATTGCACAATTAAGACACAAAGCAGGGTTTAGCAAATCATGAACTGTTTTTAATTTGCCTCATTAAGCTGCTGTTAACTACTTAAAGCCATCTGCTTAAAAATAATTTACACATCTTAAGTTTGCTCTAGAGAGCAGGTAGACCTTCATTAGAGCAGGTTTTGTTATTAAAGTTATCTTTAGGGGGCTTTCAGTTGTTGTAGAAAATATTTTATTGCTCACTGAACCAAACTTTTCCTGTAAACATAAGGAAGTGGCACATGTTTGTAACTTGCAGTCTGCTGCCATAACCATATTCTTGGGAACCACTGCTGTTCATTTAGGAGCTGGCTTTCTGTGGAGGAAGTTAGTTACAGCCGTTAGGTAGATCTGGGTACGAGGAAGGAGAATGAGCTATGTATGTGCCTAGTATCCCTATTATCTACTGCCACCCCAAAAAATTAGTCCTGGAGAGGAAGAACAGCCAGATCCATCACAGAGCCTCAGCTGTAATTGAGGCTGGGGAACCCTGCTGCCTACTGCCCTGAAGAGCAAGCTGAAGAAAAACAAGGGTTTTTGTCTCCCCAGACTGTAAAGAAACAATTTCACTTAGAACAAATCACCAGAGTGCCACTCTCCCTCCTATCTCAAGCTGAGATTCATTGTCATTTCAGTTAGATAGCATGTACACTCCTTTCTGACCTGCTCTGTATTTCTGTGGTTTGCTGTGAAGTAATTGTCCTGGTTCTGGTCAGAGGAGACTGTTTTAGCAGTGGGCTAATGGATTGCTGATATGAGTAAGATTATTTGGAGTGAAACTAGCTTTAGAAATATCAGGTCATGATGGTGTGAGAATTTAAAAGAACATCCTCCACTCTATGGGCAGGGGGTGGATGTGATTTTTTTTTTAATTATTATTATCTGAGACACAGTATTTGACTAAATACAGATTTTCTTTTATCAATAAATTAATTATTCATTAAAAACTCATTAAAATATTGCTATGGAATTTTTTTTTTTCAGTTGCATGCTGTTGTTTAAGGAGAAAAATTCCAATATTTAACAGGATGTAAATCTTTTGAAGTATCTCAGCAAAAGTGTTGCTATGAACTGTAAATATCATTGTCTTCCTATTAAGATTTTTATTTGGTTCTTTCTGGCAGGGAGGAAGCCTACAAACAGACTGACTGCACAGATTTGCACACAATATGCTTTCAAGCGTGTGACAAACCAGAGAAAATACAGGGGTTTTTGTAATTGCTGTTGGTTGCAATAGTTGAAGATTCTTTGCAACTGCAGCTGCTATGTCTTTTAGTTTAAGACTTCCCAAGGAATTTTTTTGACTGGAATCCTTTTTATGTTTGCCCAGTCGTCTGGACCTATTTGAAAAAAATGGAGAATGAAGAAAATATCCTAATTTATCTTGATTGGAAGGAATGAATGTTCTATAAATGTATACATGTCATTGAACAGAATATGTGGCTTCTGCCATATTTGATATGCCCTCATACTTCTGTTCTCCTTGCTATATTTGTCTTAATCTGGAAAGAATTTTGTTTCAGGATTTCACTGTGAAACACTTGCTCACAGTAAAAAGCTTTAAATGACATAGAGCTAATTAAATAATTCTTTTAGATCAAATATGTGAAAAATTAAATCAACTTTTAAATGTGCAAAATACTTAAAAGCATTTTAAACATAATACTTAACCTTCCCAGCTGTCTACTGGAGAGTACCCCGTGCCAGATGCTATTGTAAACTCGGTTATTCAAATCACAGTTTGCTCCTTTTTAGTACTCTGAATTGACGTGCAAGGTTAGGGCTGGTTGAAAAACTTCAAAATATTTTACATGCAAAACATTTTGAGTTGAACTGAGTTAAATCTCGGAATCCATCTGAGCTGTAGCTCAAATAGCAGGAGAGAGTGATAGCCACTGTGGACCTTCTGATGATAAGTTTGGGTGGGGATCTTTGTTTATAGGAGAGGATTATATGTGGTGACGTTTATAGGAGAGGATTATATGTGGTGACATTTTTCACTATTTGCTAAGGATCTTGAAAAATATTTCTTTAGCATTTCCCCTTTAGGTGAGAGCAAGTTGTCAAAGTCTCACAATCTGTCACAAGTGTTTTAATTTTCAGTCATGTCTAGTTATAGTCATTACACAAAATGCAGCAAACTGTGCTGCTGCAACACCTTCTGACCTTAGCAGAACATCTGAAGAAAAGCTAATGCTGTTGTAGAAGTTGGAAAACTTGCTGTGCCTAAACCTCAGTTCAGCTGCTGTGGTGGACTCCTTTTCAATTCCGCCCTCTTTCAGCTATTTTTTACAGATGGAGAGGGGTCAGTGAAATAAAGAGAGCTGTGTCTCAGTGCAGTCAGCTCCCTTGAAATACTGCTTCCCTTCTGTGTGAAAGATAGTTGTCTGTGATGTCTTATCATGTGTGACCACCAAAAATATGTCATCTGTCCCGTTCCTGCTGCTGAAGAGAAGGAACAGAATCAGTTTGCCCTTTCTGACACATCTACCCTTCTGGTCCAACTGTGAAAGGCATCAGCCGGGGAGTGGAGGACCCCACTGTTTAATGGAAGAGTAGCCTTGAAAACTCCTAGTAGTTGAGAGCTGGGAGTGAGGTATGTGAAATGGGAATAAAGAAAACTCTGCTGCTGGGAGCTGCAAGGCCCTCTGAAGCCCTTAGTGTTACTGTGTTTGCTTCTCGCTTGCTGAGTGGGAGGAGAATCTGTATCCGAGAGGCTTGCACAGCTCTGTTCTCTGAACACATAAAGAAGTTGCAAAAAAGGCTGTCTAGGGGATGGCTCCAATTCCTGTGTGTCCCAATGCTACTGGTTGCTGTGTTCCCTGTGCTTTGATCTAAGACAAGAGGCAATGTGGAGGAGGAGAAGAGCCGCTGACAGGAGAGAAACACAGTTCTCAAGTTACTGCCCGAAGAAGTAGATGTGATATAGGGTGTGTTTCTGATAATTGGCTTTGGAAACTCACCTGGAATGTGGTTTTCTCTGTTTAGGAAATAAATCTTTTCCACTTGTATTCCTGCTTTTTCCAGCCCCAAACCCAGCTGCAGCTACTACAAGGTGATCCCAGCAGAGGGTTCAGTAGCCTTGTCCTGGTTGGACTGAGTGATCTGTGAAAGAAGTCTGGCAGAGGAGCAGCGATGACTCTGACACAGCTCAGCTGGGGAGGAGCCAAGCAGCTTAACAGAAGTAGTTTTAAACTGTATCTCTTGTGAAGACAGTCCCTGAGTAGTGCTGACATCAGTTGTAACTTTGAAGTCTTGGGATAGTTTATTTTCTGAAAACCACAGACCCTTAGTTCTTTTATCTGCATGAGAACGTAATTGTGCATTGAAGGAGTAATTTCTAGGCCTGGCATTTGTGGAAGAAAGTGACTCATGACCTCAGTGCTGTCTTAGAGCTCAGAGCTAGAAGGCTTGTGAAAACTCATTGTTTGTAGTTAAATCACTGAGTAGATGGGTGTGAAAAAGCTGTCTAGGAGATACTGAGATTGGAGAGAAAAGCATGGAATAATTTGCTCCAAATTCACAACCTGAAAACAAATGAGAAAGCTACAGGCTTTCTACTTGCTTCATCCTTTGTTTAGAAATCCATTGGTAAGTAGCACAGCAGTCAAGAGGCAGCTAGAAGAGTTAGGATAGGAGCATCTACCAGCTCTAACCTCCTACTCTCATCTTCAGAGACAAGCAGACATGCTGGGGCGGGATGGTGCTTGGAGGAAAAAGGAACAGAAGGAGAGCTCCAACCTCTCTTTTACACCTTTATCCCAGAAAGACTGTGAATAATACCACTTTTTTGAGGTACTTTGGAAAAGGAAGTATTATATCTTTTTTTTTTTTTTTTTTCACCTGGTAAAACTTGCATGACTCTAACAGCCATGCTTAGGGCAGTGAATTACTGGCATTGTGACAAAGTTGGTCTTAAGCATTTCCTTTGCCTAGCTTCAGCAGACTACAGCTGTTCTGGTGCCAGCATTTTGGGAGCTGTAACGTTGGGAAAGAAAAGGCTATATGCTGTTCTGGTTGGAGTCATTTACTAAATCTCAGAGCGTACTGCTTTTTGAATGAAGGGTGTACTGAGGGATTGCTTACCGTGGTTGCAACAGGAGCTCTGAGACAGAGTCAGACCATCAGTAGGCTTTTTGTGGGGATGTATGATAGTTCACCCAAAGAGAAACGTAGGTAGTTCTCATGTGGTCTGTCAGCACAGAATAGCAATGACTCTACTTGTGAAAGGCAACCTCTGCAAGGGAAAAAAAAAAAAAAAAAAAAGGTGACAAAAAAGAAGTCTGCGTGAAGAAATCTGCGTGTTAGGAGGTCCAGTTTATGTGGTGGTGGATTCTAATAGTCACCCTGTAGCACATGGAGTGACACGGTGGAACAGAGCAGGGCTTGTGTTGTACACTGCAAAGGCAATTCACCTCCATTTGGACTGAAATAATTTAAATAAGAGCATTAACTTTGAGAAATTCATTAGTCTGTTAAGTAACTACCTTTTTGGAAATAAAACTCTCCTGGGAAGATTGGGTTCTGTGTAGTTCACGGCAGTTCATAGCCAGCCACATGACCTGGTTGCATCCTGGATACAGAAACCTCATGAGGTTTTTTTATATATACTTTTTACATATATATAAAAAAATTTTGAAACCCCCCCAAACCCCACCAGCAAAACATTTAGGTTCTGTGGAATGAAGTAAAAGCAGAGGTTAAATTACATTTTTGATGTGAAGGATAGCCTGTGCGGAATGACAAAAAGTGAACACATACACCAGGTTCCATGCCTATGAAGTAAGTTCAGAGGGGATAGGGCATACAGTGCAGCTTTGTCCTGCTAAACAGGCTTAAAATACTGATAATTCTACAACAGTAGACCTTAAAAATGTAAGTTTATATTTTGAATAAATTTAAGATGCTATTATATAACAACTTCAACTTTTTTTTTTTTCCTCTTTCCCTCCTACAGATCACACATCCGTGGGCGGGCTGGGAGACAGTTTTTATGAATATTTATTGAAAGCCTGGCTTATGTCAGACAAGATGGACACGGAGGCAAGGAAAATGTACGACGATGCAATTGAGGTGATTATAATTAATTGAGGTTTCCAGTACAGTGGAACTTAACCATCTTTAATACGTAAAAAAAAAACCAAACCCAACCCAAAAGCAAAAAACCTCAACAGGACTTGTTTTCATTATATAAGTTTTAAAAATCAAGTGATGAATAATACTAGCATTCACTCTGAGCAGTTTGAAAAGTATTGTCGTGGAATACATCTGATGCAGATTATTGTGCTAAAAATAATCAACTTGTCCACAATGGTATAATGTAAAAGCCCAAGCTATAGTTTATTAGAAAGAGACCTAATAACCCTAAGATGTGTGCAGAATGATCAAGTCACTTTTTTCTTATGTTCAGAATCATTTGAGGAGTTGAAGTCCTGAATTGTTTTATTCTTTAAATTATTTTCTAAAATATTCAGATGTTATATTCCATATTTATCTTGTAAAATGTAGTTTATACCTATTCTTTGCTCTATGGTTCTTTTGTCATAGGGTCTTGCTCCCTCTCACAGATAAGCAGTGCTTGCCCAAGCAGGGCAGTATTGCAGGATGGTTCAGTGGGGTTTGGGGTGGGGGCCTTTTTGTGGTGGCTCTGAGCTTTATGCTGCACAGCTCTTTCTTAGTTTCCCCGTACACAGGCATCTTCTTCCATCCGGCTCTCTTGTGCCCATATATGCCAAGATGCCTGTGATACAGTTAAGACACATAGTTACTTGTGGCACCAACAGCAGCAGGGACTGCGTAGTCTTGTCCAAGTGCAGATATGTGCTTGGTTCCTAACTTGTTCCATGCTCTGTGCGTCCCTGTTTTTTTCAATGCAAGCTTTTAAAACTCAGTTTTAGTGCAGTCAGTCTCCTAAAGAAAAACACCTGTTGTTGGAGTTCTCAAAATTCGTGTTTTAAAAGACATATAATGAAGGTTCTAGTCCAGAATTGCTTTGAAGCTCTAATGTGTCTTATTCCTGACCTGAATTTGATTACATCTGGCTTTTAACTCCTTCACCTTTTTGCTTCCCTACATTGTTTTAAAGGGTTATCTGCATCATGTAGCTAGTTACTAACAAAGATACAATAGGCATTCTCTCCTGAAGGAAAAATGCCTTATTTTCTTCAGTCTCACAACATAAACCAGTTTTTTTTTAATTATTTCTTAAGTTGCTTTCTTTGTACTTTCCAGTGTCTTCGGTATGGAGACAAGAATGTAATTGTTCTCCTAATAAGTCTTCACTGATTTCTTCTCAGTATTCTCACCTTCATCCAGGCAAGAGCTGTGTTTGCACTCTTAACCTCTGCCTCACTATCATCCACTTTCCCGTTGGGTTTACTCTGAAGTTGGTTATAGTCTCTTTGATTTACTGCTTTCCTACTATTGTGATTTACATTCCTGATTCCTCAATGCGTGACCTTACAATTATCTCTATTAAAACACAATTGTTCAGGCAAACCCCATTTTGTCACCTGTTCTGAATGATTTAATAGTTGGACTCAATGATCATAAAGGTCTTTTCCAACCTAAATGATTATATGATTCTATGACTTTACAGGACTGACTTTTCCTTTATCATTATCTATAGCTCCATCAATTTTTGTGCCATCTGCAAATTTTTTTTTTAGCATTGGCTTCTTATAGATCATTGGTAGAAATGCTGCCTAGCATTGAATAAAGTTATCTTTGCAGAATCTTTATGGGATGAAGAATTTTCGTAATCTTTTGTTTTACTTTGAACTGTTCTAGCAACCCAACCTTTAATCCACTTCATATGTGCTGCCTTGAATTTGTTTAGGACTAATATTTTGTACAATAACAAGGAAATTCCTGAAATTCCTAATACTCCTAATATCAGCATTCACCTGCCAATCAAAACATTTATTTTTTAAACCATATAATTCATTTTATATTATTTTTCTATTAACCTTTTAAAATACTGCTAAAGCATGAGCTGTTTTCCAGTCCTTTTTAGCTTTCTAGAGTTTGTTGAAGTCAACATTAGTAGTTGAAAACACTAGTTGAGTACTTCTAATAGTCTAAAATACAGTTTATTGGGTCCTGTGGATTTAAAAATGTTTGGCTGTTGATGTTTAGCATCCATTGTGGTTAGTGCTGAAATATATTATTCTGATTCCTAAACTGCGAGCACTTTAAAATTAGAAGAAATAAACTTTCCCTTTCATTTTCTCCACTGTAAGCCCAGTCTTGCAGACATTTTGTATGAGCAAATATCTGTCTCTGAATGGAGACACAGCAAAAGAAATCTGTAAGAAAGCTGTAAACACATTGTGGATAGGAGGGAGAAAGAGTTGAGCTGCTCCCACTTCATGTGCGATATGACCTGCAATGCAGGCATCAGATGGTTTCCTCTTCGTCTTCCTCTCAGCTAAACCCACCCATGTACATTTGAATCTGCATGAACCATACTGATCTATGCATTGTGGAACATCCTTCTGGTTCAGGGTTTGTGTTTATCCCAAGTCCTACCTGACATTGAAATACTTGGGCAAAGAGTCAGTGAGTAGGATTTGTTTTACATAATTGCAATTTGAATTTTTATTTAAAATGTTAAAATATTTTCAAGACCTCATTCCGTTACCATTCATTTGTTGTTGCCCATAACATAGCTCTTCCTCTGTAGCTGACACTTACTTGTTTTTCAAAACTTGGAGCAAAAGCTCTCTCTGTCATTTATGCCAGCAGAAGGGGAAGGGTGTAAAATACTCACAGCACGGAGTTGGAAATGTTCTCGGCATCCACCAGTCTAAAAGAAGGTCTCTATCCAGCCACAGTTCACTCCTTTAGCTTATTACAGGGGGGAGAGTGGAAGATAAACAACCATACCCTCACTCTCAAGTCTGGCAGAGGCAGTGATATTCCATGCCTTGGAGGTATTAAGAAGAAAGATGACAGCATCTGTTCTTTAGACATCATGATTTCCAGTCCATGGCATATGAAGCCTTACCCAGGTCACTGCATAACAAGAGTATAAAATGTAGAGTATAGAACAGGTTCTGTATCTGTGACCTCTCCATGCTATGTAACATTAATTCAATCTTCCACTGTAAAGGACACTTCCTGTGTAGATTCACAGCTTTGAAAAAAGCTGAAATTGTGAAACTTGTTGAGAATTTTTTGTGGTGATAAATATTGAGGATGAGCCTCTTAACTTTGCTTTCAACATCATCATGTGGCCCTCCCAGCTAATCTGGTTTAAAGTCTTTTCTCCTCAGCTGGAGGATAGGGAAGTGTCCTTTTGATCTGTTGCCTTGAGTAGCCTAATCTGTTAGGCTCACAAATTTGATCCTCGCTCTTTCTTCCTGCACAGCACTGGATATCTAAAAGAAGGATCCAGCAGTGTGTTAGACTCTCACAACATACTGCTGCAAAATAGCCCAGAAAATGCTGGGTTTTGTAGTCCTAAAAATCACAGAAAGCATGAATGTCAGATAGAGAACATTCTGTTTTCACATCTCAGCTTATTGTTTTGGGCATTTCACAGACTTAAGGAAGCTTCTTCCGTCAATTAATCTCTTAGCTGATGTGAACTAAGTCTTTTCTTTGGGGGCTTAAGTATACATGTCCATGTTAGTGCATGTATGTTCCTCATGGTTGAGGTGGATGTCACTGCTTTTACAGCACTTACTGGAGTGCTCTGTGGCTCTAGGCATCCAGCCTAGAATACAAATGCCACATCTCTCCCAACCTGCTCAAGCTTTTCCACTAAGCAGTGCTCCCAGCAATGCCCAGCTGTTCCTTATTAATTACTCTAAATATTAACTGTCCTTTTTATACAGTTAGCAAGCAGTTAGGCTGCTGAATGATAATGTATGTTGAGAGGATTGCATTCATTTTCTTTTTGGGGATGCTTCCTTTGTGACTCTTAAGCTGTAATTTAATAATTAAGTAGCTGACAGAATTTGATTTTCAGATTTCAGAAACTACCCCTTATACAAGACAGTGATGCTCAAGTTAAGAAGATTCAAGTTCTCTGTTTAGAAGAGGGACACATCACACCTAGATTGTTTTTTGGTCAGATCCTGAAAGCAAGTCTAGAGTGAAGGAGTAGCTTATGGAGAACTGACTAAATTTGGCCTTTGCCGACTCTCCTGCTGTCAACTACAGTGATTTTGTCCCCCTGGAAATGCTTCTGCAACCATTTACTCCTCAACAGTTATGAAATTACACAAAGATACAATTCAAAAGGGAATTTCACACAACATCTGGAATAAAATGTTTTCCTCCAGGAAATAAATAAACCAAACCCTTTTTAAGCCTTCTTGATCTTCATAGTAAAAGTGGCTTTACTTTAAAAATGACTCCTCAACTTTTATATATCGCTTGGTTAGAAAAGTCCAGCAATCATCATAATGTCAGTTTTGTCACAGACTAGATTAATTGAATCAACAGAGCTAATGCAAAAGATCTTAGTGTTGTCTTCACTGGCAGAATTTTCAGCAGATCCAATCTTTCCTGTAGCAGTACTTGCAGAGCAAATGAGGCTTGTACAGCTAACGAAATCAGGCTCTCTAGCAGCAGAAGTCATAGTATTCTGCCAGTCCTCAATGCCAATTTGCATGATGGTTAGACATCCACTCTGGCAGCTGTCAGAGACTTACTGTGCTCTGTCAGTTATTTCTGCTTTCTTCTCACTGGATTCTGCCATAAGCAGAAACTTCACATCTATCAGTGTATTAGTGAAGAAATGAACGCAACAGGAATGCAGACCAGCACTTCTCTTTCATAAACTTCAGAATGCACAAACTCAGTAGAGGGCAATGGAGAAATATCACCATCCAAATGATGACTCAGTCCATAGTTCAAGGGCCCTACTGATGATAATGCTGTCTTCTCCCTGTAATCCACTGCACTGGCTTTTAGCTTGGCCATATGGGGACTGCCAGATCTTCACTGGCTACATAGCTGAGGCATAGATTCACATCACTATAACCACTCAAAAGTTGCTGTAAGCACTGCAGCATCTCAAGTCAAGAACATATTCAGAAAACCATACAAAAACACATCCATATTCAGAAACACAACTGTTTCAGATCACTGTTTATATATTGTCTTCCCCAGATGAGACTTCCGGTCCTACAAATTCTACCTTTTCTAAATGTAATTTCAATAATTTCATTTTCAGAAAAGTTTTTTGTTGAAGAAAACTTTGGAACGGTGTCAGATGTTATTCCAGTACCTGGATGGAAGACTTCCATATTATCCAGTATTGCTGGGTTCAATACAGCTGCTTTAACATTCCTGCATCACTTAAGCATCAGCTTAAAAAGAAAAAAAAAAGAAAGGTTGAAATAACACAGAAGATCTTGAGGCTTTTTGTTTGTCCATATTGTTGAAAACAAAAGACAGTCTTGCTTTTTTTATTTAGAGGGAAAAGCTATTTTACTGTCCACTTTTAAACCTGAATTACAAGTTGCAAGCTGATTAATCTAGGTATTTATTGCTTGAATCTATGTTGTAGCGAACTGCATCGTTTGCACTGTGTAGATATCAAGAACACCACTATGTGCAGCAGACATGACCTCCACATCCATGATAATTGCTTTAGTTACGTGCAGGATCCTCTGCCTGTGTGTTCTCAGTATATGTAGTTTTAGTGCAAAATACAGTTGTGGACATTTTGTGGTGTAATTTGTGAAAGGTACCAGAAACGTAATGGAGTAGCGATTCACTTCTGTAATAGATCTTGTGGATAGCAAGGAGAGTAGTAAATGCCTTTTTAATAGCATTTAATCCTTCAGCTCTAATGGGCCTTGGAATACTCTGACCAGTCACAGGTCATGCACTTTTCAGGAAATTGTGAACCCATCAGATAGTTATGTGTGGAAGTACAAAGGAGATTTCTGGAAAGAAGATAGGAATAGTGTCTCCATGGTAAAGAAGATAAGTGTCTTTATTATTATAGGACTCAGACTGTCATGAGAGTCTAGTTACAAGAAAAACTGTCTAATGCTAAAGGTAGTTAAGTACTGCAGTAGATTGGTGGGGATTGTGAACCTCTCTGAAAGAGGCTTAAGTAAATGTGTTGTTCTATGTAGTTCACAAACTTTGGAAAACTAGGTCAGCTGTTCTCCTTCCTACTGTAGAATACCATTTATAAGTCACAAGCCACAACATATATTGGTACAAATGTGCTAAGAAAAAGCAGCAGTTGCCCCACCTATAAAATATTGGTATTTTTTTGTGAACAGCTTCTCTGACCCTCACCCTTCCTTTGGTAATGTGCAGTCAGAAAGATTTTGCTGTGGAGAAGCAGCTAGAAGGTAGCTGGAGCATTCCCGTCACTTCCTAATAAAGACTGACTTGAGAGTACAGGTGCTGCCCTTATGTATGTTGCTGACCAAAAGTTTCCAATGTAGATGTATTTTCTAAGTATGTGCAGACTGTACAGCAGAACAAATATTTAGGTACTTCTCAGAGTTAACAGGTAGACAAACATTGTTTGAGCCATAAAGTATGTGCTGAATTCTCAGCTAAACATGCAACATTATCTATGTCATGATTTTCCTATGTTTAATCTCATTATCATCGTTTAGCAGTTAGGGTATTTTTGTGTGTTTATTGAAATTATATTCTTATAGCAGTGCTCAGAAGTGAATTTGAAAGAAGAAAATTCTTTCTGGTTTGAAAACAGTACTTTATTCTTTGAAGAAGGTTTATTATGTAAAACTTGCAAGTGAAACAGTATTTGAAAGTTCTCTTAATCTTCTTGTAGGCCATAGAAAAACATCTCGTCAGAAAGTCCAATGGTGGACTGACCTTCATTGGGGAGTGGAAGAATGGGCACCTTGAAAGAAAAATGGGCCATTTGACCTGTTTTGCAGGGGGAATGTTTGCCCTTGGAGCAGATGGTTCCAGAGATGATAAAGCTGGACATTATTTGCAGCTTGGAGCTGAAATTGCACACACATGTCATGAGTCATATGACAGGACAAGTAAGATATATTGTTAATCTAGTTATTTCAGCAGTTGAAATACAGAAATTGTCGTAATTATTTTCAATACTTGTTACAGACTTATGCCTTGACTAACATGTGCCGTTTTTATACCAGCATTATTTTTTTAACATCCGTGTGTTTGTTTCTGATCTACATCATGGTGAGTAAATGTGAAACCAGACTTTATATGGTTCCTTCCTTTATGTTTATCCCTATTTTTGGATCAGATAGTTACATGGGTGCAGGGAGGAAGGAGTGTGTGTGTGTGAACTCTTGTCCTCCCAGATATATAGAGCAGTTTTTAATTTCATATATGCTGTTCTTACAGTTATGTAGAGTGAAAAATATGTAGCTTTTACTGGTTTTAGTAATAGTACATTCTGGGTAAGTACAATTAGAATAGAGAGGATGAAGATTAGTATGCAACTATGAGATGGCCAAAGACCTGACTAGTGAGGAGGCAGTATCAGACTTCACTATTGGGCTGAAAGTTTATCAAGTGCAATCTTTCAGCCAGCTTTATTTTACATCATTAATAGTGATCTTGATGCATAAAGTGTGGTGATTACACTTACAGTGGCCATAAAATCATAAGACACAATTAAAACAGAAGAGTCTCAGACTAGTAAACAGGAAGATCTTGAGGACTGGACTGTCAGAAATAAGAAGTTCACTCAGAAAAAGCCGGAGCTCTGTCTCTAAACTGGGAGTTGAAAAATGCCAGTGCAGTCTTAGTCTGTATCAGGTGAAAAATTTTCAGCAAAAATTAGAGAATATCAGCACTACCTTAGAAGACAGGTATAATTTGTCATCCAGAATACACTGTACAAATATGAATTTCAAGCAGAACAAATGCAGTGAAGGACCAACAGAATGATTAGAGCAACAGAGCTTTTATCTTACAGTGAGAAAATAAGAGAGGTTGGCCTGCTCAGACTAGAAAAATAATGCCAAAGGAGGGAATAAGTTTGTTGTCATCTGAAGGGATAAACACTGAGAAGAAATAGAGTTATTTTAAGATATAAACAACACAGTTGTACCATGAATAAATGTGGGTTGGAAATTGGAAATGGCTTTGTGAAGCCATTGGAGAAGTGAGCTTCTGAAATAACTTCCTGGTGGAGGTAATGGTAACTAAAACTCAGGCAGTTTAAGATGAGAATTCATGTATTTATTCACAGGATTACACGGTATCATTGTATAATTGCCTGTCATTTTAAAGAATTCAGTCACATAAGTGATAGTTTTACCTGGGTAGCAACAGCATTAAAAAAAGAAGAAAGAAAAAATATGATGATGCTTAAGGGAAAAAGTAGGACATTGTAGCTGCTGTTGCATGCTGAAAAACTGCATTTTTATGTTTAATTTGACACTTAGAAATAAGCAATGCTAAATTTACAGTTGTGCAGTCCTAATTTTATTCCTTCAGATGTTTATTCTGTACCCTAAATAAGTCAAAAGATTGGGGGGGATAAAACTTCTGGTTACATATTTAATGACTGTATAAACACATACATGCAAGAAACAGGCTGAAAGTCGTACAGACAGCTAGAAACTTGCAATGCCCTAGTTTTCTTTTGTTCAGTCATACAGTCTCAGGAATGTGGATTTTTTTTTTTTTTTCCTGGACTGATTTTTTTCAAAGAAAATAATGAACTGTTACATGACAAATGTCAACTTCATTATGCTTTAACAGCAGGTTTTGAGACATAATTGTACACTTTAATGACAGAACAGAAAAAAAACTCTCTTTCAGAAGGCAGACATCCTCGTTCACTGTAAAGGTTTATGTTTCAGCTGGCAAAGGGGAAAGCCTGATCTCTTTCTCCTGTAGACTTGGAAGAAATCTTGCCCCATTTGGTGTCCCTAGAGAAGACAGCAAGGTGCAGAGGGTGTGTGCTGAGGATAGAGAGCTCTTTTCTTCAGATAAACCAACCGGAGCTGTCCTTTATTGTGTCTTCCCAGTGTTGCTCATAATAAAGTGCAGTATATGGCTGGTTTTATAATATTTTGGTATAAAAATACTACTTTATGAGCAACCTAAATTTCCATAAGGGCTGAGCATGAGGGAAAATGGAAAAAAAGCCTTTTCAAGGTCCAGTCTCAGCAAAATCGAAACAGAATTTCACAGAGTAAAAGACGGGCATTATATTGCCAACTGAAAAAAAAAAAAAAAAAAAAAAAAAAAGGCTATTTCAGAAAGCTTCAGGCAAATTAAATTCTAGATTTTCTACTGTCTTTACAATAATGTTAGCATATAAATCATGGAAAGCCATCTACAGAAATTCTGGTTTGAAATTGTGCTTTCCATGTCTTGCATAAATAAACAAATATCGTAACATGACAGATTATTAGGGTCCACTGGGTTTTCACATAAATTCCACTGGAGTAACTTTGATCTGGACAGCTTTTACCACTGTGATAATCAGTAAAATGCTCTTGTCTTGCAGTGATAGTCAACATGCCTATTTAGCCTTAAGGTGATTTTCTGCCATGACATTGGTGACTGGAGGTTCTCGATGTATTAGGATTTTTTTAGGTCAGTAATAGTATCCTCTTGGGTCACTTTCCCCTCTGATACATTACTGTATGCCTTCAGACAATCTCAATCACCGTCTATAATGGAGAGTATTTGGGGTGACTTCAGTCGCCTTTAACAAAACAAGACTTTACTTATTTTGTCAAGCTAATACAGCCCTTTCACTTATTGTTGTCTGTTTGCCTCTCTTCTTCATTTACTTGCCTTTGGGACTGAAGTTAATCACAATTGATGTGAGAAGTCAGCTGTTGAGTTATGATTGCCCAGAGTATCATCATTTCTAAGACCATCTCTGTGGTCTCTTGGATGCATTTGCTTCTGTTGATGGCTTCTAAGACCCTTGAGGTCTTAAACCATTATTGATCCTTCTCTGTTTTCTGGTCTACCCCTTGATGTCAAGCATTCTGTCGCCATCCAGTTCGTGCTCTCAACAGTACTTCTTCCTGCTGGGGCAACAGCTCCTAAACACCATGAAGTTATACCCTCCTCTCCCAGCTGACAGGGGGAGGAGCAGATTGTATTGCAGGAATCCCACACAAGATGAAGATTTGAAAACATTTCTTAATTTGAGTGAAAGTGTGGCACAAGTTAACGTACACCATCACCTTTTGGACAGTGTGTTGCTGGCGTGACCCATGCTATGTCTCCCAACATGTAAATAAGACCAACCTCAGATCCATGAAGCTGCTTTAGAGAGGCCACAGCCTATTGCACCTTGCTGGGTCTTGCTGGGTCAAGCAAAGACACTCAATCTCAGCCCACATGACTCAGTTTCTTTCTCATTGCTTAACACCGTTATCATTACTGCTGCTTTAGTCAGGGTTAATCAAGACTAAGATGAAGAGTTTTTTCTTGGAGGCAGATGTGGAGGGAGGATGAGACCCCCATTATGGACTTACAAGGACTGGAAGTGTTCATACATAAGCTCAGTTCAGAATGCTGATGGAGGAGATCATCCCAGCTCTACAGAGAGGAGGAGGAGGACTTTATCTTTTGAATTCAAGGATGCCTTACTCTACATCTCAGTCAAAATAGATAACAGAAAGTATGTCTTGTGGTAGAAACAGACACATTCCAGTTGAAAACTCAATTAATTGACTTCTGTACAGATCTGAGGTTTTTCATAAGGTACCTGGCCATCATAGTAACCCAGCTTGGGTGAAATTACCTGATTTTGTTACCCAATTAGTAATTAAAAGCAAGTTAATGATTCCCTTCAGGTAGCTTGGGGCTTTTTAGCTTTGGACAGTTAAACTGAGTCAACACCTTGCTGGTTTTTGGGAGCAAGTCTTGCAGACCTATCCCCGAGAAAATTTTGCTATTCTGTGCATGCTATTTTCTCACATTAGGCCTAAGTCTCATTGTCCAAATGTAAGGTGGTCTGTCTACATGTGACAGCCTTCTCCTATGTGGCTTGTTACAAATTTTGCCTTAATCCTTCTAGATGTTGCTACTTCCTTTGTATTCCCTTTCCCACCACATTGCATTCTGACAGCACTTGAGTTACACATTTCGTCTCTCACAATGCTGTCTGCTCCACAGTGCTGATTACTACAGAGTAGGAAAGTCCTTGCAACCATTCCTGGTGTATTTCCATGGACATTATGTCACAGTGACAACTGGCATCACTGTCATATAGTCAGTGAGAAGTTTATTATGCAGGGACACAGTCTCTCTGATAATCTGATTCACTTATCGGTGTTCTCCAGGAATATCTGAGAGAAGGCCTCAGACTCCTAAATTGGAGGCTGGAGAAGTGACTGAGGATATTCTGAGAAGCTCAAGCCCTTGCCATGGCTCTGTGAAAATCCCTGTAGGTTCTGCTGAAGCTGAGGACCTACATGGAGGATAGCACTCCATGTAGGATGACTTTGATTCACCAGCTGGAGGAAGCTGATGGTCTTTGGAAGGTGAAGGCAGAGGGTAGAGGTGTGGTTCTGATCTGCGTCTGAGCAAGGGATTTGTGTTTCCAGGATCCATTGAACTTGCTGGCATGAAAATTTGCTCTCTTCAGGAAGCTGAATGCATGTGGACCCCCTTGGAAACTCCAAGGATTTGAAAAGGCTTATTGATGGTCAAAATCAGAAAACCTAACTGTAATTAGAATAGTGTTGTGATGTGTAATCTGCACATGTCTCTGCCTTCTCCCTACTCTTGTTTTTTTTCTATACCATACCCTATTGATAGATTATTGCTGCAGTCATTCTAAATCTCCCATTTTATGACAGGATATTTCAGGATTTGTATGTAGTCCGGTGTGTTCTCAATTTGGAGAGAAGATGGAGAGAACCAAAGATAGAAGGCATGCTCTGATCTGTATGCCTGTGTCCAGCACAGCACAAAGAACTTTCAGTGCTGTCAGTGGACACTGGTAAGGCTGAAAGAAAAGAGCTTCATGTGTTTATGGTGCAAGGTTTCTCAGCAATTATGCTTCTGTGTGTGGACTGCACATCTTGAGGTATTCCAGTTACTGAGCATTAGTTCTTTGTTTTACATGCTTAACATGCACTGCTGAGAAATGTGGCAGAGGCATAAAATAACTGGTAATGCCAAAAAAATGTCCAATGAAATTGATAGAAGGACCACTAACAAATCAGTCTGAATGATTAGCTTTCATAGATTTTATAGAGGTTAGATTAATAAGCAAAATTATCTGTATAGATGACAGCATGTCCTGATTTATAGCAGACAGCATTTTTAGTGAATTATACCATCCCTTATATGTAAGAATGATCCCAGCCATTAGCTGATAGTATGTATTGACTGACTACAGGATGAAGTTTTCTGCACGTCTTTAAAGTTTCTTGACAAGAACTGTCCTCAGAATCTGGGTATACCTTTATTTGTTTTTACATGTGTGACAATTCCAATGCAGAATAAGCCAGATGACTAAGATTCCAGCTGAGACATTGTAAGGGTATGAGTAGATGCTGTCTCTGTCCCAGGACTCTCAGTAAGCAGCTAAACAGGCAAAGATGAAGAAACAAGAATAATTACTTATTTTCATGAAAAGTATAGAATAACAATGTACGTAGATGGAATGGTTCAGAGTCTCAAACAAAAGTGCCTTAGAGGTTCTCTTCCTCAAATTTTATATGAATTAGAGCCTAGAAAGTACCATTCTAATTATGAATCTTTTCTACTTTCAGGAAATCTTTTGCTAGATTGACTGTAGTCTTAAAGGAATACGCAAAAAATAAGCAATGTTTTCAAAATAATTTCCAAAATCAGACATACAAATATTTATGTAGAAGTCTGAGGACTTACTGTTCTTATTTTCAGCAATGCTAAATACAGCTGTTACTGAGTCAACTTTAAATCAATTGAAATCTCTTTTAAAATGGTACAGGGTTCGCTTTGCAGTTTTGCAGTGATGTGAAATTGTTTCTGATCTGCTCTCCCTGCCTAGACTATAGCCTGTCAGCCCAAATTAATAGTAAAATACATTAATTAAAGTGTAACCACTATAGCATTGTAAAATGGCCTTTGCTTAGAAGAATGCTACTATTCATAGTAGCTTTTTTACTTTAGTCAGCTATTAGTAGAAGAGCTGTGATTAATTTTACATCTTTGGTTTGAGATAAAAATTCGATGAGATTGTAGCAATATGCAGAAGTGGTCCTTGGGTGGTATAATTTCTTGGGGTGCCCAATAACATTAGAAGAAGATATGAGTAAATAATTAAAGATTTAATGCACCAGCAAGCTACAAAGCAAGAGAAGGTGTCACAGTTTCTGTTGGTGATGCATCACCAGAACTGCCTGAAATCCAGCTTCTATGTGGATAGGAGTAATACAGCTGACATGGTTTACCTGATTTCAAAGGCTTCTTCAGAAGTTCTCCACTAAGGCCCTTTAAGGATATTAAGCAGCCACTGCATAAGCTGCAAGTACCTGCATGGAGAAAAAAATCGTTGTAGCATAGCAAATAGGGTAGAGAATAGTCAGCTCTTGCAGTTGGACGAATGCTGGTTAGCTGATGATTCTCTGATATATTTGAGATATATTTATACATGTATGTGTATAGATGTGTATAAATGTATAGTATATTTACATTTGATATTATAGTATGTGTATATATAAATTATATATATATATATATAAAAATGATCAGGGAAAGGGCAGGAACAATAAGGTAAGTGTGCTGATAATAACCAAAAAAAAGCTATTCAGGATAGCAAGTATGAAACAAAGCTGAAAAATTATACCTTATGAGGTCAAGCAATTGCATGACAATTACTAACTAAATTCAGTGTAGTTAAATGTAAGGTGAGGCACCTATGAAAAAATTATTCCTAACCTCACAAACAAAGTGATGAGCTTTGCCCAGGGAGGTGGTGGAGTCCCCATCCCTGGAGGTGTTCAAGAGTAGGGTTGACCCAGCACTTAGGGATATGGTGTAGTTGGGGTCTGTCAGGGTTAGGTCAGTGGTTGGACTGGATGATCTTCAAGGTCTTTTCCAACCAAGATGATTCTGTGAGCTCTTAATTGACTCACCATTACAATTCAGGAAATTGTTCTTGAGATTATGAAAATGTCAGCTCAGTAGCAGTCAGGAAAAACAAAGTAAGAAAGAGTGATATAGAAGATGTCATACGTTACTGTATTAATCTTGTTCACACTTGCAGTGCTGTATTCAGGCTGATCCTCTCATTCACAAAGTTTGTAGTAGAATTGGAAGAGTTGCAGAGAAAGGCTAGAAGGAAAACTAAAGGTGTGGAACATTTTCCATTCGAGGAACAACTGACTTAGATAATATTCTTCAGTGTAGAAAAGGAATATTTTAGGTAGGACACAAAAGATTTGTGAAGTCACCAGAGGACTGGAGAGAGTGGATAGTAATCAGTTTTTCAGTCTCTTCTCAAAGACAAGACCTAGAAACTATTGAATGAGTCTAGTAGGAGCCAAGCTGAAAATGGAAAAGAACAAAAAAAAGTGGTTCTACACCAAAGAGGTATTAGAGATGTGAAACTCATTAGCAGAGGTTGTGTTTGATGCTTAAGGCTTACATAGGTTTAAGGAAACACCAGATAAGTACTTGGAAAATAAATCTATGAAGAATTACTGACCGCATAAAAAAGTATGTCTAGTTTGGGAGACGCCTTGAGCTCAAAATAATTGGAACTGGTAGAGAAGCTGGAAAAGAGTATCTCACATATTTGGCCTGTTCTTCCTCTTCACCATCCTTGTCTGATTTTGACCATTGTTGGAGACATGATACTGGATCAAACAGAACTTCCATCTGTATGTTCCATAGTATGGCTGTTCTTACCTTCTTTATTTTGTATAGGTAGAACTCTGTATCGAATCTCATGGACTTTGCAGTAAAATATGTTTGGTTTTTGTTGGTTTGTGTTTTTTTGGGTTTTTTGGGTTTTTTTTACTGTAACTTGTTAAATGCCCCATTTTGAAAGAAGTATCATAAATATTTCCTGATGGGTTTTTCTTGCCACACGTGTGGCTGAAGCAGAGAGTGCTGCTTTTTTCTGTTGGCACCCAGAGCCATACTCCCTTGAAACAAAAAGATTAAGGAACTTTTTAAAGATATTTTCTTCTGGGGCACACACTGGGAGGTGCTCACATTTTTCATTGTAGTGTTCTAAGGTTCCTCTTTCAAACTCACGAGACCATGGTTAATTTGAGCCTCTAGCCCATAAGAATTATATGCTTAATTGCTTTGATAATTTTTAAAGCTCAAGTGCAGCTTCAAAGTTCATTACCTTAAAAATTGTCTGCCAGAGCAAAGGGTGCGGTGCAGCTGTAGATAAGAGCGCATTACTTATGTCAAATTTGATGAATAATGTGTAGTTGTATAATAAAAAAAAATGTAATTGTATCTTCATATTATAGGCAGATTTTCTACAGCTACTTCCTTCTTACATGAATAGTGTTCCAGATGCTGGCACAGGGCCATTATAGATGCCTTTAAGGGCTGAAATAGTGAATCTCTTAGTTCAGAGATTTATTTTCAGTTGTGGCTAAGTTTTCATTGCCTAGTTGCAAACCGTTTACTTGAGGATCGCATTATGAAGCACATCAGTTACAGTGGCCTGACAGCACTTCCTTAAGCCAGGAGAGTTTTCATAAAGATGCTGGTTATTTGGGATGGTGGTACCTGCTTTTGTTCTAAGATCTTTGCCCACTGTGCTGGGTGAGGTCAAAGGACATCAAAACCTCTGTTAACCCTTTTATTCTTTTCTTTTGCTTGTAAAGAACTGATGTCAGTCACTTAAATTTTATCTATAAACGAATGTGTTAATGTGTTTATATTCTTAGTGATTCATTAGTTTTCAAGGATTACTGTACTCCTGTCAAGATAGGTAGTTTTCTCACGGGAACTGGATAAGTTATTCATAAGAAAAATTAAAGGCCTCAACAATAGGAAATATTTATGAGACTTTTTAAACACAAGCTAGTTTATGCTTTTCTCACATGCTTGGGATATAGCAGTCTCCTATCCACCCTTCTTGCAAACAGTGGTAAGGAATAATTTTTTTTTCTTTTTTCCTTTCATCTGCAGCATTAAAGCTGGGTCCTGAAGCATTCAAATTTGATGGTGGCGTAGAGGCAGTGGCAGTGCGGCAGAATGAGAAGTATTACATCCTAAGACCAGAGGTGATTGAAACCTACTGGTATATGTGGAGATTCACCCACGATCCCAAGTACAGGCAGTGGGGCTGGGAGGCAACACAGGTAACTGTATTAATTATCTGTCAGTAATTTAATTCTGTGTATTTTCCTTTTGTAGCCGCTTTAATCTTGTGCTACTGAAACACTTCAAATGGTAATTGATTTTCATGAGTTCTTGTAAACCAGGGAACATATTGGGGTGTGTGCAATTATTCCAGTTTTGGAACTGTTGAATCAGATGGATAAGATGTGCTCATGTGTACAGCTGGTGAGTTTCAGGCGTGGAAATAGAATCTACTGGTCATCCACTCCTGCTGTTTATCATTAGCCCACAGCCCCTGAGAGAGGCAATTTATGTTCAGAAGGGAAAGTGTATTATAAATAACTTTGTTAAGCATGTGTTTGCACTCAGTTTAGACTAAAAGACAAAGCTATTCTTACAGTTTCTTCTTAGTCGGCTATTAAAACACAAGTGGTAGAACAACTGTTCTCAGATGGTTTGTAGACTAGATAGCATGTACATATGTATATGTAGGTTGGTATCATGGCTTTTTCTTTTCTTAGTTGTCTGATAGGAAGGAAAAAAAAATGCCAGTCAGTTTAGATTTACTCAGTTACAAAATAAACATTACAGCATCACATGAAGTAGATCAGAAAAGAAAGTAAGTAATGGCACTTAAAAATTGGTGCAAAGGTATTTTAGAGATTGTTGGGTTTCTTTGAATAGCTGCTTTCTAGGGTTTAAATCTGGTTGTTGAAATGTTTTAATCAAATTCCCAAGTGTGAAAAAGCTCCTGAGTCTTTCTCATTGGAAATGCTTATACTGGTCTACAGAAGCCCAGATTAGTTGTAAGACTCTCATGGCCTTCTTTCCTTCATCCTTTGTACGTAGATGGATCACACTTTTATCTGGTAGTCATAGATTATGGGCTATATGAACAACTAGGCTTAATTTTCACGTGACAATATAATATTCTAGTTGTAAAAATTATTTGTAATCCCCAAAAGACTTTGCCTCTTAAGTGCTTCCTAGCGTTGAACTTGTGAACTTTTTTCTGGTCTCATGTTGCTGACTACTTCCACCTGCTGGTCTGTACTGGGCTTGTGCAAAACTAGTTTGCTGGCCAGGTAGTTTTCTGGTTGTCTTCAAGATCTGTGGATTACTACATCTCCTCCACTCCCCTGCTAGAGCTCCAACAGTCTTTGGAAACACAGCTCAGAGCCAGTTTCAGAGTTGAGAATAAATATTAAAGATAACAAAACCCTAATGAAATATTTTTACTACAGCCAAAGAGATGAGGGAAGAGCAAAGGAAGAGACAAACCAAGAGTCTGGAGAAACTTTATTCTGCAGGTGAAAATCAGTTTCATTCCAGAGGCAAGAGACCCAGAAAAAGTACTTGGAGGAAGAGATCTGTTGAGAAGTCTGTATTCATCAGGTAGAAGATAGTTACAGCAAGTTCAGAATATTTAGCTGAGCTCATCCTTGTCCTTCCCTCAGCACAGTCACAATTACATAGGAGAGTCCAAGTATTTTAAGATTGTGTGTTAGTCTTGGTTAGGTTTTTGTGCTGTAGATTGTATGTTACAGCAAACATAATGTTATTCTCGAGAGCGGTTCCACATCTGTCACATTTGTATTCCAGAATGCATTGCCACTCTCTCCAAAACATCAAACATTGAGTCACATCATCCCTCCTGCCCAAAATAGGCATGTTTCTACTATGACAAAGGAATAGATTTAGTAACCTACTCCTTGCCAGAGTGCGTACTCCAAATGCTTGCTGGCCTAACACCAGCTCCTCTCAGAAATTGTGGCTGGATGATCCATGCTGAGATTGCATCCTTTGTGCTAAGTTAAAGAATTAACAATGTAAATTTCTTCATGCCAGGATCTGTCTCTTAAGCACACTGCAAAGCATGTCTGTGTTGCATTTTGTTCAGTTTCTCCATTTGCCTTCATATCTTGGTCTTCATTAATGCTTTCAAACCAAACCCTCCTCCAATTTTCTCTGTGTGCAGGGTAGGGTTTTATTTTATCCTTCTGTCAGCCTGCATCAAAATTGTGTAAATCAAGCAGCCCCTGTGCTTAACTGCGTCTATCCTCACAGAGTGCCTTTTTTTACTTGCTTCCTCAATAAAAAGTTTCTTTATCCAACATAGACATAAAATATTTTCAAACTCTTAAAAAATGCTTTTGCATAGCCCTCCCTTCCACAATTACAGATTTTCTTACCCCCACCATCATACTAGCATAGAAGCTTGGGAAGCTTTTTGTTCCCCAGGGTTTTCTGTTCCCTGCACATAGATAATAATTTCTTGTGTTTACTCATATCTACTCACTACTTTTCCTTCCTCCCTACCCCACACAGCTCTGGTTGTGTTTATTCCTCCATTTATAAATAGAGAAGAATCTGGTACAACACACAGCAGTTGATTTGCTGCTCTTGCACAACACTGTCTGTATTCACTTTCTTTTGCCTTTCAACCACTGAAGCATACTTCGAAATTTGTATTACAGACTTCTCATGGTGAGTGATAGTTTCCTCATCAGAAGTCTAGTAGTTCTTCTAAGCTTTTGGGGAAATTGAGTTTTGTTTCTGAGTTCTAAATGGTCTTATTTTTCTACTGTGAATCTGGTGTAACCTGGTGTTTGATGACTGAGTTCTTGGTGGTCTCCCTTGTTTACTTCTTTGAATGGATGAATACATCCCCACCTGAATGGATTTGGGCTAGTTCACTGATAATGTTAGAAGTCTGCTTCTGTCACTTTAAGAACTCTTCAGAGATCATCTACGATACATTACAGAACCACTTGACTTTTAAATATACTGCGTTACTTAAGTGTCTTTAGCACTCCCAACCCAGATCTCCCTCTGCCTTTTATGAATGGGAATTTGCACTGAAGGCCGGATTGTGTGTGTATGCATATCTTTGTACTGTACTTTCTTTATCTGTTTCACCATTAGCAGCTTCTTTTTTGCCTTTATTGTCTAGATTTTTAGACAAAATGGACATTTTAGTGCAGATTATGCGCTTTGACCAAGGTCTGTTTTGTCACATCTTTCCAAATCTAGTGTCTGTGGGGAAAAAACAAGAAGTTGAATCTTATATTCCCTCAGTGATCATAAATCCCAATGACAGGTTCTGTATCTCTTTCCTAATAAAAAAAAATGGTTGATTCTCCCTAATACTAAGCACTAGAGATATCATCCATCTCAATTGTATTGGGCGAGACACATTGGATGATGGTATGCTGGGGGGCTGGTTGAAGTATTACAGAAATACGCATGCAAGGTTAAATACAGAAAATTACTAAAATCCTTTCTAGGTGGATTATTTGAAAGCAGTAAGAGCTACCACTTCACAATAGGCATGTAAAGCCAATTACTATAAAGATGTGTGAATGAAGGGTTCAACTACTTGCTGGGGACTTGCATATCTGGCTAAGTAGGATTGCACCATGGAGGCTGCGGAGTTTGTTTATAGAGTTTCTACTTACAGTGAAAATAATATACAAGACCTCAGGTTTGAGCTAACTTCAGGCAAATTGAGGATTGACAATAAGATGCAGTGGAAAAGACCTATAGTGCTCTCCTTAGTGAAGCAAAGTAGACAGAAAAGAGCCGGTATAGGCTGGAGGTGAAAGAAACATGGTTCACAATTCATGGGTATCACAGCTGGTGAAGAGACTGGCACAGTTTTTATGAGCACGTTATTGGCATAGTCAAGAAGAGTCCCACATGCAACCTCAAAAACACCCTCAGAGGAACAGAGGGAGCTGGGGTGCAATCTAGAGGCATCTCCAATTTTATTTCCAGAGAACTTAGATCAACTCTGACCTCCCTGTGAGTCATAGGCATTAATTATGAGCAGACACACATGTATTTAGTAAGAGTACACCGTTGCATATTCTTCTGTTCTACTCTTGATTTGTATAAAGGGAACTGGAAAAATCACTTTTTATGGTAGTTTGTTCCGTTATTTAATTATTTGTGCTGTTAAAAATATATGCTTTGTTTCCCATTTGAATTTGTCTAATTTCAGCTGTTAATCACTGAATTTTCCTGTGATTTCCTATACCATATTAAAATGTCTTTTATTCCCCCACATTTCCTTTCCAGAGAGTTTTCATAGGTTGTAATAAGCTTACCACCGAGTCTGCTTAAGATGCTAAACACATTGTACTGTCTCTCACTGTAAAGCATTTTCTCCAAATATCTGCACTCATGTTAGTTCATAACCCTTATTTTAAAATTAATTCTATAATTGCGTAATTGCATATTCTAGTTTTAACTTTACCCACAGCCCTCTGCAAAAGTAAAATTATATCCCTGCTACTGTTTACTGTCCTTGTGTGTACATCTGCCACAGTATCCTAGTGGGAACTCGTACTGCATTGTCTCATGTGGCCACTGAATTCTTTGAAGTGTCTCTACTTTCCAGACCAATCTGGTGCTGCAGTTACACAGCCTTTATGTCTAGATTTAGGATTATGTGCCTGGTTGAGGCCGAGTTACCACCAGATTACACTGCTGATATTTACCCATGTCATTTTTACCAGCAACAATTTTGCGGTGACAGATAAAACTTCAGATGGTTCCTTGTAAATATCTGTGAGAAGCAGCTCTCTTTGGTGGTGATTTTACAGTGCTAGTTCATTCTTAGAGCACTGTCAGTCAGTTTTAAATTAAGATAGTGATATTGATACGGTACAGTACTGCTTTGTCTTTTCATAACATCTTATGGTACCATGCCAATTGCTTTAGAAACTTTTAAGTTTGTTACACCTCTGCAGTTACCTTTATCAATTTGTGGACCTCAAAAATTAAAATCAAGCTTGTAAGCGACATAGTTTTCTGTAAAACCATGCTGATTGGTGTCAATTATCCATTTATTCTTCTATATTTTTAACATGTGTTTCCATAATTCTTTGGAAATAAGTGTGCTATCCTAAAATTATTCAGCTTCCTAATAGTAGCATTACCTTGATACCCTTCCAGTCATCTAGGAATTCCCTCTAGGGTGCATTTTACCAGAGAGACTGGTCTTTGAGTGAAGGAGTAGCCAGGTGGCAAATCAGATGCTTCTACACCAAGTACTTCGAGATCTGTATAAAGGCAGAACATCGGAAATTTGAAGTGCCTTTTAAGCAGCTTGTCTACAGCACTGAACTCTTCAGACAGTATCCTGAAGTTCTGTACACCTCTGGATCAAGGACAATATGTTTATCCATATTTGGATGAATAGCTGTATAGCAGTCTTCCAGAGAAATTTTTCCTCTGCAGTTCATTACTACCCGCAGTGTTTAGATCTCTGACCAGCTGGGTTAAATCCTCTGCTTATCATGAATTCCTGAACAGAGTCTGTCTCCCCAAGGAGAAATTTCTGAAGATACAAGACTACTTGGTAATTGTAAGGAAAAAAAAAATCAATATAAATCATGCTTTTTCTTTCTTCAGGCTTCTAGGCCTGCTGGTTTCACGAGTGTTGCGCTTTATTATCTAAGCATGAGACCTCTACAGCATGGAGCAGGCTCTCAGTGCTGTCTATTGTCTGCAGCTTCCAGAATAAACGAATTGAAGTAGACACTGCCCTAACAGTGGTACTGTTTGTTTCTTCTTTTCATTTTGCCACAATCATTAGCAAGTTCCTCCTGTCCAAGCTGTGCCACACAGTGTCAGGGTTACGAATCATTGACCAGTGGAACTTCTGCAAGGTCAGACTCTGCATGCTAGAAATTCTGGCAGGTGTTTAACCATTGCACCTTCACCCCCAACTTGCCACACTTCAGTGCAGAGACAAGGTGTGTTCTGCAGGGTTACAAAAAAGGGGATAGTGGCGAGAGGGAGGCACTTAATTTTCTGCTTAGAAAGCTAAAGTGCTTTGGCTCTTGCTTATTCAAATAACACCTGCCTAGCGGCTATAGGACTTGTGAGGAGGAACGTGCAGATGGTTCCATAAACAGCATGTGCTTCTTCAGAAGTTGGCCAAGCGATTAATATTTTCCTTTTCTTTTGTTTATTTGTCTGCCATGTGATAGGTAGCATCACATGCAGTGTGCAAGAGCATGCAAAGAGATTGTCATGCGTGTGATGCTGTTGGGTGTGTTGCATACACCTTTCGAGATTGTAGAGAAAATCTGGTCAACCCAAATTCCAACATACAAATAGTCTCAGTGTAGCCCTAGCCTGCACCAGTAACCAGATCTGAAAAGATTTCATCCAGACACTTTCCTTTTAGGCTCAAGTTCCCCCAAAAAAGGGAGAGTTTCCATTTGAACTTGGAGAAGGCTCAGCTTGAGATAGGGAGTTACAGCGAGAATTAGATTTTGCCAAGAAAGATGGTACCTTTCTTGGCATAAGCTCAGGCTCTAGAGCTACAGCAATTCCAGTAACATCCTTTTATCAGTCTCTCCTCTCGTTTCTTTGAAAATCTTGGTATTCAGAAATTTGAAAGAACTTTGAACAGTCTGGATTATTCTTTGGTCCATGAACAACCTCACATTTCCACAGGGTAAAAGTGTATACTAGGAGGAGGTTAGCTGTAGTACCTGATGTGCTGTAACTTACTGTCCTTGGTACCTTGCTCATTTACCTTTTCACTTTTCCTTCTGATTTCAGTGATGGCATCTGCCAGCATTCTTCATGCATGTGTCCAGTGGAAAATTCTCCTTTGTTTCCCAGTACTTCTAGTATGCAGAGGCTATAGTAAGGACCTTGAAGAGTTAATTTTGCTTGAATTTGTTTTCTCTGCATCATTCAAAATTTAGTTGCTCCCCTGCCTGGACTCCCCTCAGCTTCTGTTGAGTATAACTAGCAAAAATCAGAATTAACAAAAATCTGGGCCTAAAGCACCATGTGGAGAGAACCTTCATGGAGGCTAACGGGTTGAATCATAGATTAGCTACATTCAGTAGTTGGTAATGACAGACATCCTGAGCCAAATATTTTCCTTCATCACTGTGCCTTTTCTGTCCCTGCATGAATCTATTAAAAGAGTTGGTGTCTGGTGAGGAAGCACTGCCAAAGCAACAGGGAAGCACAGATAACCTGTGAATCATTTCAGAGTTGTTTCTTTGAGGCCGATTTTAATGGCTGATATCCTTGTGTGCTCTAAGGTCATGTGTGTGAGCGGAATAATGAAAGCCTAGGCAAGAGGTGCTCTGAGCTATTAACGTTCTTTCCAGTCTCCTCCTCTTCCATTGTGCTTCTTGCAGTACTGTGTTGGAGCTGACTATCTGGGTGATTTGTGAATCACGGATCCATTGACCTCTTTCTCCATGAATGTTTATGGATTTAAACTTCATGCTTTAAAGAGCTCTTCTGCAGTCCAGCACACAAGCTGACTTGAGTTTCAACTGTAGAAAGGGGAACCAGAGAAGAGCATATGTAGGACATGGAAATGTGGGGAGAAAGCAGCAGCTAGAACTTTATAAGATGAAATCAACAGTCCCTAAAGATGAGTACAGCATTTTATTCCTACTTTCAGTTAAGTCCTATGACAAGCTACTAGTCACAGAGTTCCTGTAACTCTTTAAACTCTTCCAGCTGCAAAATCCAGAGATGTTTGTCATCTTCATATGCACCTCATAGCATGTGTTGTATGGATTGCCTGATGGATGTTCTACTCAGCGTTACCTGTGAGGAGTTGTACCAGCTCAGAGCAAAAGTCTACTGAGTCCATGTCCTGTCATCAATATCAATCAACAGTATTTACCCAGGAAGGAAAGTGTTCTCCTGCAGAATACTTTCTTAGTATCTAGCAGTTTGCCAAATGTGTCGTTAGTAGCTCTGGAGAGATTTTAATTCTGTATGTATCCAGTCCCTTTTTATTTTTTTTGGTCAGCATGAGCTGTTAATACTCACAACATCCTCTGACAAGGAGATTCACAACAGAAAAATGCATCACGGAAAGAGCAACCTCCTTTGTTGATCAAGCCTGATCCTTTAATGTTTCTAAATTTTGCTGTACAATTACATTCTACTTTTCTTTTCCTTTCCTCTTTGCAGGCAATTGACAAGTATTGCCGGGTCAGTGGTGGCTTTTCTGGCGTCAAGGATGTTTATTCCTCATCTCCTACATATGATGACGTACAGCAGAGCTTTTTTCTTGCTGAAACTTTGAAGTAAGTTCTCTTCACTCTTTGCATCTTCCTGTAAAAACTAGCATCTGAATTCTAGAAGAATGTCATGGCTCAACAAATAATGTCTTGTCTTGTCAAGGTGGTTTATGGTTTGGGCTTTCTTTTTTTCCTAGCTTTAGACCCAGATCAACACATTTTACCAGCAGAAAATACAAGCAGAACTTTCCATGCAAGAAGCTTATGCTGAAAGAGATTTAGTTTTTAAGACTTCTGTTTGATTTCTGGCATCACAGCAGAGGAGAGGTTATCTCCTTACAAGAAATTCCCTGTGCAAAACTGGTTTTTTTTTAAGATAAACTGACTTGGCATGTCTTATATTAAAGTCTGTGCCATGCTCTGATATTGTAGAGCCTGTTTCTCCTGTGTGTGTCACTGGAAGAGAGTAAATGCATGGAATGAAAATCCTTTATGTCCTTGGATGATTTTTCTGTATTTATCCCACAATGTATTTTTCTAGAATGCTTTTTGGTATAAATAGGAACATCAGGCATATTTTATAATCTCTTGCATATTTAACCATTTTCAGTTTAGTCAAATCAGTAAGACACATGTAGTCCACCCTGAAGAAGCTCATGCACTGTGTTGCATATTTGGTTCAAGGTAAAATGTTCAGTCATTGGTCTTCCACTGTGTTTCTTTTTAATTAATAACAAAAAGCGCTATACTAGAATATGCCATACTCTCTAATTTACGGAGATGATACATACAATAAGAAAAACTTGTATAAAGATAGGAATATCTTGTGGGGATTTTAAGAGATCCATTTTAAAAACTGAGCTAGCATGTCATGGGTATTCATAATCTCCATCATTGACACAAAACAGCTGTCAAGAGCACTCTTTTGTCACATGGTTGTGGTGATTGCTCTGGGGTTTTGCCTGTGAAGCAATGTCTTCTGATGTGTGGCAACTTTCTTGATAATCAAGTTACAGCAGCATATTTGGTAATATAGTTCTGGCATTGAAATCTACCAAGATTCCTGTATTGGGTACCTTCCTCAAATCCTGTGAATTTTCTTTTGAAAGAAAAGTGTCTGAGTTGGCTATATTCCCTACCCCCTTTTTTTTTTTCCCCCTCCTGCATAACAGTTTGGAGAACGTTGTAGTTAGTTAAATCCAGAGACAGAAGCCACTGCTGGCAGTGTGAATGAGGCCAGAGCTGCTATTAGGAGACATAGTTATTTCCTCTGCTTGCATATCCATACCACTTTCTGCCAGTGTGTGATGGAAAGGATGATACATATGTTGTTGCACAAACCTGTCAGCATCAGAGACTCATTAAGGTGCCCTTTCTATCTTTACAGCCCAGTGATATGACAATAAAACAGTTGTAATCGTTTGACAGTCTAGCATGGCATGCAGGCTTTGCAGAATAAATAGAGTTTCTATCAGAAAAAATAGTTTGCGGTATTGGCAATATCAAATTTTCATGTTTTAGCTGTAGCTGATGTATATGAAGGTTGATTTGGGGTATTGGGAGCTCAAAATACAGTGGAGAGAAAGCAGGTCCTGAAAGTGGCAGTACTGGTGCCTACTTCAGGCACCACAACATGTTTCACTGGCAAGAAGTGTCTCAGAGCTCATCACACATACAGGGAGAGTCTGGCTATTCTGTCCTTCTGCTGGCTTCTTACCAAATTTCTCTACATAGTCACAATATTTTCTTTTACAATGATAACATGGGGAAACAAAGTCAGCCACTGCTACCTCCTCTGTTGTCTTCATTAATTTTATTTCAGTTCTTCATTTTCTGGAGACTGAAAGCTATACTCCCAGAGAGAGAGGCAGCAGTTGCAAACAGGTCCAGTCAGAGAAGCAATACTCCCCAGGACCTCATCTTATATGACTGATCTGCCTATAAAAGCCAAATCAGAGAATGAAATATGCTCCTAAGGGACTTCTGTGGTGACAAGACTGACCTTTGAAGTATCTCCAGAATCCTGTCTGCATCCTAAATAAGGTGATTTGAAAATTCACTGATGCATCACTCAGTAACTGGATGTACTATAGTGCAAATATAGCAAAAGAAGGCAGTTTTAGGAAGGAACTTAGAATTCTATTTTCAGTAGTTTTTGGCTTTGTTTGTTTCCTTCTTGTGGGACAAAACAAAGTTTTATTGGAGAGCTGGATATTAGATGTTTGATGTTGATGTGATTGGCACAACCAGACTAGAAACTGGTATCACCTTGAGATAAAATAGAGAACATAAGATCAGGATAGTTCAAATGGCTATGAAAATAAGGACAGAAGGGTTGGGTGTGATGCCATGAGGAAAATGAAGATGTCCCTAAGAGGGGCATAAAATGTGTGTTACAGAATGCCTGCTGTGATCTTTTCTGCTAGTGATGATAACTTCTGCTTCTTCATTCCCCTCAAATTCCAAAATGATACCTCTCCCAAACATGCATTGTTACTCCTCGGAAACTTTGGCTCATCAAAGATACTTGGCAAATTATGAGGGTTTGGGCAGTATGAAGGGCAGAAGGTAGCCGTGAGTGGGAAGGAGCAAGACATAGAAATAGGTTGCTTAAGTTATTCAAAGAAAAAGTGTGAATCAAATGAGGAAGGTGAATTTTAGTAAGATGAAACATTGCTGCTGTGGTGAACAAGAGTTTGGAGATCTGCAGAGGAAGAAAGCAAGGTAGGAGTAAGGAGGAAAGGAAAGGCATGACACTTTAAAGAAAAATGTACAGAAAGAGACTAGACATGCAGGACAAAACAGAATCATCTCAGCAAGAAATTTTTCTCTGCGGACAGTTAACTGGTGAGGAAGGGAAGGAAAAAGTAGAGCTTCAGTGACTGTGTTGTGCTGTGGATACAACTGCCAAATAAAAGCAATGGGAAAATGACCAGGCAGTGACATAGGACTGCAGACAGTAGGCACTACCAGTGTCTGAGAGAGAGTGAAGTAACAGCAGCCTCAGCAGAGCAAAGACAAAACAATGTGTGTGCACGTGCTGGATGTGACAGACCCCACTAATGGGAACAACACCCCATCTTTGTCACATGCTGCAAGACCTGTCATTTTCTGGATGACAGGAAGGCAAGCTGCAGCAGGAGCTGGGAGCTCCTGTGCTCCCATGACATTACACTTGCACTTGCACACTCAGGTTTTCTGGAATAAGGGAAATGCCTTTTGAAACTTGTCAGTTGAGTTTGGAAACCTTGACAAAGATCCCTACCACTAACATGTAGCACAGCCGCATTCAAAAGTCTATATTAAGGAAAAAAAAAACAACAACAAAACAACAACTTTTCTTCCACGTATGGCCACAAACATTAATTTTGTTACATGCTTCATTTTCTCTGCACTATTTTATCATGTACCACATTTATGAATCCCTTCTGCAAAAAATATTGGCCCATTTCCTCCCACCTGAAGCTTAACCAGCTTTCAGCACAGTGATGACAAGTCAGATGTCTGGCATGGCTTATTGGCTTCTCTTATGCTTCCTCAAAATCTCTGATTGGGACTAAAGAGAATGAGTCATTTCCAAGTGGGTTTTCTCCATTAAGAAGAATTTTTTGCCAACAACTTCTCTGCTCTCCTGTTCTCCAACTTCTCATCCTTTTTGTGTTGATCTTTGTTTTACATGGTAAGTCTTTGAAAGGAGTCTTGAAAAACAAAAGTAACTTGGAAAGATCAAAATGCTGTCTTCATGACAACTTTTCATTGGAGGGTTTGATCATGATAAAAAGACTTTTCAGATCATTATAACAGGGAAGGCTCTGTCAGTGCTATATAAAAACTGAAAGCCAGTAACTTGTTTATAGCTTTAGCTGCTGACTGGTGGGATCTGAAGCTGCCGTGTTCCCCTACCTGTCTGTTTCTCTGCTTTAATACCCACCATTTTTTCTCTCTGTCTTGATATCTAGGTATTTGTATCTGCTTTTCTCCAATGATGACCTTCTACCATTAGACAACTGGGTTTTTAACACGGAAGCTCATCCTCTGCCTGTTTTACATTTAGCCAACACCACACTGTCAGGAAATCCTGCATATCGATAAAAACAGCTCTATGAAGAGGAAGAGAGACTGTTTTCAGCTCTGTTTTGTTTACATGGACCACTTGAGACTTTAAGCAGGAGAGGAGACAGACACTTGATAAAACTAGACCTCTGAGTCAAGCAAATACTGGCGTGAGAAGCAAAGCTCTTCAGCATATAGATAAGTTAAAAGTTCAGTTTTATACATGACCAAAACACACTAGTGTGGTATTTGCGGGACAGAGACTTCACGTGCTTTGAACCCTAGCAAGACATGGAATCTACTGCTTAATATAAATGTAGCAGCATAAGGGAGAAGAGGCTTTCCCGTCCAGGGAGAGGAACTTGCTGCTGCTGCTGTTCGCTGTTGCAAGGAGCAACACATCAGTCACCTCTTCAGATCGGGTGGGTTCCAAATATCTAGATTTTTTTCGTTTGTTTGTTTATTTGTTTGATGATGGCATGAGCAAAACAACAACAAAAAGCAACATCATTGCACCAGCAGCATCAGGATGTGAATTTTTTTTTCTGTACCTGTCTGAATTTTCTAAGGAGCATCTGTTTGTCCAGACTGGCAGCCATTCTCAGGGACTCAAAGCTAAACTCTAAACTCTAAAAACTATTGCCTCCTCATTTTTCCTTTCCAAAATAATGGTGAAAGATCTGCGTTGTATGCTTACATCCAAAACAACAATTAGTAAGCATTTGGTTTGTAGTTCACTGTCAGTAACGTGGGCTTAGTTCATTTGGCAAGCTGCAGTCACAGTCTGGAGCATATCGCAGGGGTAGGAAGGAGTCTGAGTTTCACTTCCTCAGAAATCCTGTCACATGGAAGAAAACACTCTCTTATTAGTCCTGGTTCTTTTAGCTAAATAAACAGAGATGACAACATGAGAAAAACAGTCTCTCATGATTTATATAGGAGGATACAGTTTATGGCACCTAAAAATGCTCCCATAGAGATAAGCAGCAGGAGTTTGTTGCTTTATATTTTTTCACACAATCTGGATTTTTCCTAAAAGTGAAATTTCATTCTTTGGATGCTATTCACAGAACCTTCTTTGCAGGTATTTGTATGACAGAAACTTCGAACTGCCTTTGATTTAGTTTACAAAACTCCTTTTTTTCTGGGCGCTCCACTAAAAAGCTAACATGATCGTCTTTAGAAGGAACATAACATCTCTTACATATGGGTGGAAAAAGAAACTGAAGAGTCTCTTCTTCCATTACTTTATGAGGAATGAGATGCTGCTACCTACATGTTTTTTGTGTTTTTTTTTCAAATATTCCTAGGCAGGGCTAGACAGTATCACTTAAATGGAGTCTGTTTCAGTCTTCACTTACTTGTTAAAAGAAGTTTCATATTTTTGATGAAATAAAAATCTCAAATTATCTCAATCTCCTTTTTTTTTACTGTTGTTCCAGAATCCTTACAGCTCAAATTATTCTTTTTACTCCCCTTTATAGCTCTCAAAATCCTTTTGCCATAATGACTGACCCCTTTGCTGAAAAAGAGCTGTGAGGTACTACTTTCCCTCCTAATTAGTGCACAGGTTGAGTCTTAAAAAAAAATATTGATTGTGTTTTCATACTGCAGTGAGTAGAAGAACTCTTCAGCGAGCTACAGCAATACAGCATGAGATATAAAGGGAGTGAGTGTTGTTTGTCCCACTCAAAAAATGTTCTTATATGAAGATTTATATATAAAAGCTTTTATCTCTGTCATAATAAATCTGACTGTACATTACAGTAGAATTTCCCCCATAAAATCTTTCTGTACTTGTCTTTGACACTAACTTAGACATAGAAATCACACAATCTAAGAAAAAATGCTATGAAATTCTGTTTTCCAGACAGTTGCTTTAGTTTAAGAGGAGGCAACTCCAATCTCAATGTTTTACCTTAATACCAGTTACCTAGTTACTGTAATTTGCAGCAGTACCTTAAAAATGATTGAAGAACTGATAAAGTAATTGAACTAGGAAATAATACTAAATCAAATAATTGTTTATTTAAAAGTAGAAGTAGCTTAATAAATGGATTCCTCTTACTGGTCCCACATAAATTTCTTTTTCTAATTAGTATTCAGTGAGTTACTGAAGAGCTAGTCATTTTCCATTTTCCAAAGTTCAGATATGTTTTCAAATCGAGTTTCTCCCATCCCATGAAAATTGTTACTAGTTTAAAACTGCACTCAGTTCTCTTATTCTCCTAAATCTGTCTGGGTACAAAGGAGAAAGAGGAAAAGCAGACTCTTCTGTTAAAAAAAAAAAAAGAGAGAGAGAGAGAAAGAAAAAGGGCACTTTCCACCCCATATACCCATCCCCATACACCATCTGATAAATGCAGATCAGATGTAGAATGGCTGCCAGTCTGTTCAGAGGAAGGACAGAATTCTGGAGTCCCAGAAACAGCAAACTTCTTAACACTGCTGCTCTTCCATCCCCTTCTTGTGAATCAAAGAGCGACCCTTCAGATTAATTTCTTCATGAATCCCAATGGGTTAACTCACTGCCACAAGAATGCTTGAATTGAGGACCTAAGCCATTTCATGTTATGAGATGGTATTTTTCTCAAAGCAGATGTACAGTACTGCTATTTCTTTGTGTAGACAAGCAGCAGGTACCAAATAAAGGACACTTGTTTCTCATTTTCCAGTTACCCCAACAGCTGTCAGTTTCTACTCTATCACTCTTTAAAATGCAAACTATCCTTTTCCTCCAGAAGCTACTGATGTGCATAGTCTATCAATAATAATGTATTTTAAGGACTAATTTCTGTGTCATTCATGAATCTCTCCATCCTGAGATTTCCTAGAGCAAGCTGAGTTTTGAGGTAATGGGTTCTGGGTGAGGTGTGTGCATAATAACCAAGCACCACGGATGTTGAAACTTCTGACCGAAGTGACGTGCCTCATTCCAAGTACTTCACAGAGAAGTAGGTTCTGATCTGCAGAACGGCGTTATGTGCAACCCAAAGTTCAGACTGTTTTCCCTCTGGGTACGTAAGGTACAGTAGAATATTGCCATTTTCATTCTGTTGCTGCTGTCTTACATACTTTCATGAAGATAGAGTGTAAATTTAAGCACAAAATGACTTTTTAGTCCTAGTTGTTTCCGAGTCTTGCACTGTATTCTCTAACAAAGCAATCCTCCTTTTCTTAGGTAGCTGTCCCATTTTAGCAATTTCTACAATACCCTCTTATCTTACAGAATGAAATAAAGAACAGAAAATCATATACATTTTTGGCACACTGGATTTGGGCAAGAGCTTGGAAATCCCAGATTTGTCTATTTCCTTTGCATACAGTCAAAACAGGGATGTTCAGTTCTTTTCCTAATCCAAGCCTCAAGCTTGCCTGTTGGTCAGGATCTGCTAGCAGTAGATTTTTTTTTTTTCTAACACAGCTTGACTTTTCAAAGAAGCCGGATTTCTTCAGCTTCCATTGACCACCCTGGAGCTGTGTGTGTCCTGCAGTCAAGAAGTCAACTTCTTAGCTTTGTCCTCTAAAAACAAAACCTTTGAATGATATTCTGGGTGTTCATTTTAATGCACAATTTAGTGCTTAAAACTGAATGTTTAAGAGAAGTATGGAAAATAGTACGTATGCTGGAGTAAAGGGAAAAGCAGGTAGTTCCCTGTGCCAGTCACACCTTTGAGGCTCCTTTAGCTCCCCTACTCCAAATTTGTGGATCACTGTCTTCTACCTCCCAGTCACTGACACTCCCACCCAGTATTTTAGAAAATTTGAATTTTGAGTATCTAGGTTCTGAAAAGTGAAAATAATGACACACTCACTGTAATATCATCCTTTAAGGATAAATGTCTACCCTGTGCTGATACACAGCTAAGCACATCTCTGTCAGACAGTCCTTTATGATCCCCTCTTGTCCTGATGAAATATTACAAACTTTCATCATGTGACTCTCCCTAGATTGAATGGAGAAGTGGTTAATAGCATTAACATTGAAAGGATTGACTATGTAACCTGGCATCCACAGAAAATGGTGAGGCAGTTTACATCTCAGGGCTGTAGTAACAGGCTTTTAGCAAATAGAGCCTGATATGGATGTTAGTAAATCTAGTCCGTGTTTTTAAGGGGACAAATAAGAAACAGGCTTCTTGTTACCAGAGAAAAATGAAAGCAAGCTCTTGATCCACACTGTAGTTCAGAGATCTGTTCACCCTGATAAGACATCCCTCTTTCAGTCCTTGAATTTTGAGAAACAGTCTTCTGACTCAAGAGTTTGAGTTGCCATACAAAGAGGAAACCCAAGCTCTTTTGCAAGTTATGTGCATTCAACTGTAGCAGAGATGATAAGCACTAGCTGCTTTGGCTGTCAGCCCCTTCTAACAAAGTGCTCTGTAATTGCCCAGAAAAGTTGGGAACCACCAAAGTCAAAGGAGACAGCCTGACTTCTTAGGGTGAATTGTTGCCTTTAATCCTAATTGCTTGGTGGAAGTTGGATTTGCATTCTGCCTTTATTCTTGCTTTGTCTAAAACTGACAGATTATTTTTCCTCCAAAATAATAAAAGGGCAAAAGTCTGTCTTCTGATGTGGAAACCTTCTGCCTCTGACCTGGAATCCTGCATATGTACTTTTTACAGATTAAAAATAATATTGTATATTAAAAAGATTGAATAAAGAATGTCTTTAAGTGAAAAAGGTGTGGTTTGTGTCCTTTGCCTCCAGAAGCAACCTCCTGTAGCATTGGACTGTGAAGCTGATCCTATTTCATACACTTGATGGTGCTACAGCTTTTCTTACTCAACTTAAGCATGTATCAAGACCTTCTTACTGCAAAATTAAACACCTGTACCCCTTGCTTGCTTTTAACAAGGTCGCTGTAGTGCTCAATTTTTTCTTAAGATGTAGCTAAATGTACAGCGGTTTGAAGCTGGCTGTGTGCCATTTTGAAAGCCACCAAATCTCACAAAATTTTGAGTTTTCTACCCTTTTGTTACATTTGTGTGAAAGTGGCTAAAAAGTTCAAAGATTCTTAGTGGGAACAGGCAGATGAGCGCGCTACTAAATAAACTTAGTTTTTTAAAGACATGTTAAAACCCCAAGCTTTTCTTGATACTAAATAGCCAGTGAATTGGACCATCCATCCATTCCTCTACACTCTGTGAAAAGCAAGAAGTTTGTAATTGTTTACATGTTGTTCACAGGGAAATTAGTATGAGGAAATTGCTTCGAGTGAGCCTATTTTCTCCCTGCACCTTAAAATTCCCTGAAACTGCTTCTATAACTCACTGTTTTACAGTACAGCAAGTGAATAACTATATTTGCTTTCTGATTCACGTTAACTGTAGATAATCCTTACTGTCTGACATCACCCATATTGCTCCTAGCAGTACATTGTTTTCATGCCATGCCACGACTGCCATCCTGTGTGTCCTGTTTTAATGCTTTATAACCAATGCCCAGCTTTCCCAGGTGCTTCTGCCTCAGGATGCAGTGACCTCCTTCAGTTTTACTTCATTAAGAGAAAATTGCTTCCAAAGTGCCCTTTTGCAACCATTGATCTTCCTGTGGTGTGCTCAGCCCTTAAGCCACCACACTGAAATTCCCTTCTTGCATCAAAGCACGTTTGCTATGTCCACCCCTGTCACACCATATCGGCCCACTGAGGCCTAACACTCAAAACCTTGCCTCCTGCTCTAGTACTGTCAAGTTCTCTACCATTGTTTATAACATTTTAGGCAATCCTGAAGGTTTCATGCTGTCCTTGCCGTTCTTCAAACAGAACCATGTCCTCTGTGGTTGCGCTGCATTGTCTCTGCCTCTTCAGTAGTGAAGTGTTTTGCCCCCCTGCTTCTACTTCTTCTGAAACACACTTTCTTTGCACCTCCTTTATCCTCATAACGAGTATTGTCATTTATTTTTCCTTTGGCACTCTGCCTGGGTGTCATCCTTCCCCCTCCCTTCCCTTGTAGACTCTGTGATTGTGTGTGCTCCTTACTGGAGACCATGTGCCATTCCTATGCATATTAATTAGCGGTATTTAAAAATTCTGAAATTAAGCCTTAATGGGTTATTTTTAGCCTTCATCTTGTAGCTCTGGGAGTTGTCTTCACTCAGTGCAAAGCCATAGGCATTCTGTTGGCTTTGGAAAGGAGACATCACTTTATTTGTGCCAGTTCACATGTGGGATGTGTGAAGGTTGGTGGTGGTGTGCTGTTTTTTTTTTTTAATTTGAAGAGCAAGAGTCTTTTTGACAACAATATTTCAGGCTGAGCAAACTCCTATGTGAAAGGGTTTGAGGAGAGCAGTCACTCATATAGCGAAGCTACTTGCAGGTAAAAATTCAGGGAGGGATTTGGGGAGGAAGAAAAAAGCATTGTGTGTCTATGTATACCGTTTCACTGTTTTCTTTCTTGCATGGTTTCCATTTTACAAGTAGTTATAAGCAACAGGTATGATGTCTGTCTGTTACCATGTAAACCAGAAAGGATGAGCTGCTGCATGACTAAGAAGATAGCATCACTTGTTGGTATGGGATCACACCGAAGTCCCATGTGAACTGCGTTACTAATACAGCTACTTAAAAGAAGAATGTCCCAAAGCCCCTTCTTCTACAAGCTGGTGCTGCATATGTCTACATACCGATCTCTTCTCCAATCCATGCTGAAGCTTCAGCAAGGAAATCAGTGGAGGAAGCCCCAGAGAATATGGATGAATGCCAGCAATCTGCTACATCACCTGTGGCAAAGCCCTGCGTGCAGGTTCCAGGCGAGGTGCAGAAAGATTTCTCACGTGGACAGATAGACCCATCCATGACTGGTGTGTGGATCGTGCCCAGCATTCCTGTGAATCCCTCTACAAATCTTCTGGCTTAACTTGAACCATCTGTGAGGCCACAGAATGTATTCTGAAGAGAGTCACTGAAGGTGTAGAATTACTTGGGACACCAAAGACAAAAGTTTTCAGGGTAACCAGATGCTACTTTTTAATGAGATACGTCATTCTCCAGATGAAGGATGTATGGTACATCTCACATAACTGAACTTCAGTAATGTATGCAATACTGCATCTTGATTAATTTGTCTTGAAAATTTGAAGTTGAACATAAGAGCTGCACAAGTGGATAAGGAACTGGATAGAAGAGAAGCAATGTATAAAATGGAGAAGGAAACTTACAGATGTTTGTTTTAGTGAATGTCACTAATTTTTGGTACTAGGACAAATCTTCTGTAATGGCAAGAAGAATTTGCAGCAGAAAAAAGTTAGGAAGAATTATCAATAAAAAGAATGAAGGGTCAGACAGTCTTGAGGCCTGAAACATCAGAAGACAAAAGAAATTTAAAAAGTCAGAAGAAAAACTTGTTCCTCCAGGGCCTAGAAGCAAAACCTTTCACTGTAATCTGGGCTGTTGTTAGTCTGAAATCATTAACATTGAGAAAGACCTGAACATAGAGTCAGCCATAATGACACAGATGACCAATGCAAGGTGAAAAAAAGCAGGTGAAAATGGCTGTGCTGGGTTAAAAATAGTCTAACCTAGCACCTTGGCTTAACACTGATCAAAAGCAGATTCCCACAGAAGAGTAGGAAACTTCCCAAGTGTACCCCAAAATGATCTACAACTTCCTGAGCCATAGGTGGTATCTTTGTCTTTAATAGCCCTTGACATACGGGGAGGAGAGTGGGAATGTTCTTAGGAGTTAGTGTAGTCACTTAGTGAATCGATAGAAAGTGTTAGTGTGCAAGACAAGCTCTGCTAAAGAGCCCCATGGTGTTGGCAAAGCATGCATGCACCAAGAAGTAATTTCTGATGAAACTAAAAAAGTATCAGTGTTGTACAAAGAAGGATGAACACATCTGAGTTACGGTGTATGATTCTGGTCACCCATATGTAGAAGGGAACGGGTGGAACACAGTGAGTATTTACGATTACCAGAGAATGGAGAATTGGTGTCATGTGAGAAGAATAATTTAGCCTGTCAAAAGGGAAGACTGACAGAGGGGATAACCGCTGTCCACAACACATCGAGGGGTTGGTAATCCTGGGATAGAAAAAAGCTGGTTTTCCTGAAGGAAAAACCTGGGAAAAAAAAAAAAAAAACCCACACAAGTTGATTCCTGCAATATCTGAATAATTTCTGACAACGAGGTCCTAAAAGCATGTTGATCTGCTGAAGAAAAGGGTGATGTTTTGTGCTTGCCTGCAATTTCAAGTACCTGAAAGAATGATACACAAGGTCCTTTCCTGTCCTACTTTCCAGAGCTCCTATGGGAGCTCTGTAGGGCTGAATTTAGAAAAGCCTTCCTTTGTGCTGTTAATTGTTTCTAGTGCAGGGCAAATGTAAAATGCCATTGGGTCAGAAAAAAAGCCTCTCTGATCTACATGGATGAGAGTATTTCTATCTGGTTGAGTAATGATGAATAGAAAATCACCAAAATACTTGCTATTAAGTTTTCCGACATGGTTATCCAATTAGCTTTCACCACTGGATTTGCTTGTGGCTGAATCAGATTGCAATGTGTTGAAAAACAGAGCGATCAACATAGGACACCACTTTGTTTTATTAAAAGATTTGTTACTGAACAAGAAACGAGGAAGAAGGAATATGATAATAAAATAGAAGAGTGGTACCGTCCACAAATAAAGTCCTTTTTGCGATGATTCTTACACAACAAAATAAGTAAAGATCATCGGTACCCTCAGAAACGTAATCTCTGAAGATACCATCTGTTGCATGCACCTATACTCAGTTTTGCCCTGATTTGTATATGCTCATCTTGTCCTTTATTTGGGTACATATGCCATTATTACTTGAGGTGTTTTATGTATGTGGGTTATTTCTGTACTCATTAATGTTTACATCAAGGGATTTCTCTGAAAGTTCTCTGCCATTTTTGCAAGTGTACTCTTAGACTTGCACTGATACAGTTATGCATTTTATATGCCTTAGCCAGGCAAGTAATTTCAAAGAATCCATACATTATTGCTGTTAGTATGCTCAAGTCTTAGAACCAGTGTTACCTGGGCAACTATTTATATGAAATTAATACTATAGTCTGCTAAAACCTTATGCCAAGCTCCTGTAAACACAGACACTGTATTCCCACGTATCACAGCAAACAGGTCTGTCTCCCAAATGCTGAACATCCCTTCCCCACTTGCATGTGTCACACCTGATGCAGCTGGCTTGCCAGGACACGCAGAGTCCCCTGCTTCAGGAGCCAGCAAGGCTCTCCAGCCCCATCCAGGCACAGGGGATGCAGCAGGCTGCCCTGAACAGACCAGGGAATCAACACAAAGGATGGTGGCAAGTTTGTGATACAGGACATAAACTGTGATCTTCCTGGAGGGGAGCAAACACGCCTGATGGGGAGAGTCTGGTAACCTCTGTGGGCACCGTGGGATTTCAGCTGGCTCCTGGTGAGAAAAGACTGAAGTTTAGTATCTAGCTGCTTGACAACCTCAATTTTTCAACAGCTCTGAGTCACAATGCAAGAATTATGAGATTGCTTCTAAATAATATGTTTGAGGATCTTTTTCCATGTCTTCAGTTGTGTTGTTTTTTTTTTAATAAAAAAGGCCTTTAGGTCACTCATGGTTTAATATTTTCAAGCCCTTCCCTTTTCTTTCAAAATGATGAAAAACACCCTTACAAATTAAAAAAAGAAAACTTGGTGTATCTCCCAATCTAGCAGGT